CTGGCACAGTAGAATCTAACACTCTGCTATGTCCTTAGGGATTGATGGTTGGAATAGCTCTCATAGATCTGAAGAATAATGACACCATACATGACTTTACCTGGGAAAGACTTAAACCAGCTTGTGATAAAATGAAAAGTCACTATGATGTTAATGCTGATAAGACTAGATTTCATTGAGGTGCATTTGTGCTGCTGAACAATTTATCAGTTTTATGTACCCGTTTATATGTATATTAGGTTTCTTCAAGGGACTTCACAATCCAGGAAGGAGACAGTATTGTAAGCTATGTTTTTGATTGTTTTAGATGTTTCTTTGCTAGATAAAGCTGCTAATCATGATGATGACGATGCAATACCTAGAATATTCATGAAAGTTAAGGGCAGAGGAGCTATGTGAAATATTTCGAAACAAGGGTACATTATACATACAGGTTAATAAGTATTAAGAAGTGAATGAGTGTTTCAGTTCAGTATTAAACAGTGCGAGTTATCACAGCGAATTATTTTGTCATCCAGTAACACGTTGAGCAACATGTTTATCGATCAAAACTAAGCAAGTTTGGTGTAGGCACCATTAACAAGGAATTTCTGTTGAAACATCGTTTGTGAACTTAGATCTGCGACCATTGTCAATGTGAACGTAGCCTGGGAGAAAGTTTTTAGAATTAATTAACCAATATACTGTCTTTAGATGGACCGGACTTCGCATTGTTTTCACCAAATAATTTAAAAGAACCGCCCAACGACAGAACTGTTGAAACAATATTAAATGTTTGTGTTTGAACTGTTCTGTTCTCACAATCTTATATTCGTGAAACATACGTGACAGCAATTCTATTAATTAAAAGAACCCGCCCAACGACAGAACTGTTGAAACAATATTAAATGTTTGTGTTTGAACTGTTCTGTTCTCACAATCTTATATTCGTGAAACATACGTGACAGCAATTCTATTAATTAAAAGAACCCGCCCAACGACAGAACTGTTGAAACAATATTAAATGTTTGTGTTTGAACTGTTCTATTCTCACAATCTTATATTCGTGAAACATACGTGACAGCAATTCTATTAATTAAAAGAACCCGC